GAATTTTCACATGTTGTTGAATTCACAAATCCTATTGAGGAGGCAAACCCTGTTGAATTTTCACATGTTGTTGAATTCACAAATCCTATTGAGGAGGCAAACCCTGTTGAATTTTCACATGTTGTTGAATTCACAAATCCTATTGAGGAGGCAAACCCTGTTGAATTTTCACATGTTGTTGAATTCACAAATCCTATTGAGGAGGCAAACCCTGTNGACGGACAGACAGACAGACAGACATGGCGAGCACAATAGTGCATTTTTTTCCATAAATGATAAAATGCGCTAAAAAGCAAAAGATTAAAGTCATTAAACCCAGCAAATGGAAAGAACTGAATCTTTTACCCATAATAGTGAATTAATGAGAATATGATCACCAAATTAACAAGCTTAACAAGATCCGGTAATGGAAATTTAATAACCGATTCATTCCTGTCAATATAATCACACAATTCACAATTATCTCAAAACAAATTGATACAGGACAAAATTTAAAAAAGTTACGTCAACAGTGAAGCGCAATGTGCTTTGCGACTGACAGATTTTAAAGCAACGAGAGTGGAATGACTCTGTCGAATAGGATTTTTATCCAAATGAAAATACTAGTAAACCGAAATATGAAACATTAATACAAATAAAGACAAATTTACCAGCGAGAATATAAGAAATAACTGTCTGAATGATCACAAAAATGTTTAAGAAAATTGCGGTACAAATGAAATGACGCATGAGGGGCGGCTATATCAGGCAAATAATTTTCAGGGATAAGGTAAAGATATACGTTGATATGGATAAATTAATGATATATATTGATATGGATAAGTTAAAGATATATTGTTATATAGATAAGTTAAATATATATATTGAAATGGATAAGTTAATGATTTATATTGATATGGATAAGTTAATGATATATATTCCATGAACATGTCTGTCTGGATGTTCTCGCTTTAAGAACAGTTCTTACGATCCCATAAATATTATATAATGGGTTTTGTGTAGATACAATTTGCATTATGTATCACAGTGGCATGTCAGAAGTGCGAGCGTTGCTTACGTTTGTGATGAAAAACAATATTTCCAGAAATAAAATTCTGAGTTCCCAGCTTCTTTGAACTCACCATGCATCAACAGAAGTGCAAAAACATGTTGCAAATATTCGTATACATAAAATAAAAATATTTTATTTCGTCTTCCTCCTAGTGCCCATAGTAAGGAATAAATTGAAGCACGAAACAATCATTTACATGAAAAGTACATAATATTTTATATCGTCCTTCTTCACGGCGACCATTGTAGCACCTGAATTTCTTCATCCACAGAATTCCAGAATTCCGTCCGCCGTCTTACATGTTCAGACAAACAACATCTCAATGGACATCGTACCACCGGAATAAATTTTTTTCAATCCACCGGAATAAAAAAAATATAACTCAGTAGCAGTGAGTGACAGAGAGCGCATTTTCTTGTCGACGAAAACGTGAAGTCACGGACTGATGGACGGACAGACGGACAGACGGACGGACATGACGAGCACAATAGGGCATTTTTTCCATAAATGAGAAAATGCGCTAAAAATGTTAGGAAATTCGGTCGTTTGCCCTTGGGTGCGTAGAACGTCCAGAATTCCGTCCGCTGTCTCACATGTTCAGGCGAACAACATCTCGATGGACATCTGCACCACCGGAATAATTTTTTTATTCCACTGGAATAAAAAAAAATGTTAAGAAATTCGGTCGTGGAGCGTCGTTGCTGCAGTCGTTCAGTTCCGTCGACTGGAATATCTTCGCGGTTCAGGGACGTCTCCAGGAGCTCCCGAGGATACGCGAAAACTTATCTCGAAAATTTTCTCAAAAACTTTTCAGAAATTTTAGATATGAAGAAATCATAACTGAGGTTATCCGGTTTTTTGACAAATACGCCGAGGATATGTGCAAAAATGAAAATAATGCTAGTTTGTTTGTGTCTGACTTTTATACACAAATTACGAATCAAACGGATTAGTACAGATGTGTATATTAATTATAAATTATTATATTTTTTCCGGCTGATATGGAAGCAAAGCATGACAAATAAAAAATAAAAATAAAAAACGAAGGCACTTATGAAATTATGAAGTTATGAAAATTATTAAAAATTATAAACATGAGAAAAAGAATCAAGTATAGAAGAATATGTTTTTAAGAACAACAATAAGAACAATTAAGAACAATATGTTTGTAGACGATAACTGGATTTGAGAAAGACGAAAATGTTAACATGGTTGAAAATGTTCAAATGCGATCGTTCATTGTGAATAACATTAACTACTGTTATTAATATTTGTATCTATTGCCACAAATATAAATATAAACCATGCTACGTTCGGTCAAATAAATGCCTTGTATAATTCTTAAGAATTATTAATTGTATACAAAATTTATTTTGTCAACGATATTTTTGTGAACATTCACTAGGCAATGCATCATTGTTGATGTAAAACTTAGTTCTTCTCAACTAGAATTCTGGACGATAGTCTGAACTAGAAAGACGATATATAGTGTGAGATCTCAAAGCGCTAAAATTTTCCATGTAGGTACGCACCGCTTGTTATTGGATTAAAATAGGAATAAATCTAAGAAATTCGGCCAGCATTATTTAAGAAAAATCGAAATATTTTTGTTGCTTTTTACCATTTATTGAAAAATTTCTGATTTTGTGCTGGAGTGAAGTATCGATAAACTTAATATCGTTATCAAACTAAACATTTTTCTATTAAAGAACCTTCTAAGTGTTTATCATGAAATGTTAGGAAACCGTTAAAAAATGTTGAGAAAGTATTTTGTGTTGCCAATAAATTTCAGTTTGGAGATCCAATGAAACTCAGAATAATTTTGCCGAGCTGACTTTTGAAAGGTTTCGTTTGGAGAGGCTGACATCAGCAAAAGTTGTTAAATACAATATTAGCAAGATCATTGTTAAAGAATAATTTGGTAATAAACGTTAATGTTGATATTCGTATTCGAGTAAAATTTTTGGTTTGATGTGGTGCTTGTCAAAATATGTCCTATTATTAGGGCTGAAATATAGGTATATGTGCAAAAATGACCATGGCAATTACATGTATGTTGCCATTTTGTTCGTTGGTGAACAATTCATTTATTTCATTTATTATATTGATCTGTTGTAATATTTATACGCAGAGTTTGACTTGATTTAAACTTTTTTTTGAACATTCATAATTAGTTTTACAAAAGAAAACAGGATCATTTATAACCACAAACACTCGCTATATACTTTTTACATTGCAAATAATTATAGCAACGAGCAATTTTTGAACAATACAGCGTTTGCAGCTTCTCATGAACTATTGAAGTGCATGTCTAAGTAGAATGATGAATGAGACGCGAGTTAAAACTGAAGGCCATGTAAGCAGATGGGAAATAATTTTTCAATCGAGAACGTTAGTCACGTACGTTACACATCATGCATGGCATTCATCTGAAGCCTCCAACCAAGGGCATTTTTTTGAACAGAAAGTTATCGTTCAAGTACAGAATATGCATATAGATCTTTGCAGTAAAATATATTGATCTTTGCAGTAAAAAATTAATTCACATTCACAGCACATCTGTGCACGCTGCGCACCTGTACACGCCTACTTAATTATTCGCTGACCGCAACACTAACGTTTACGTTACATGGAACACAGCAAGCTGTATGCAGTGTAGAAACCGACGATACATATGCAGGTTCTTATATAGTCACAGTGCCTAATAGGATCCTGATGTTTGGTTGCGGGGCCTGATAGGATTTTGATACTTTAGTTAGAATGATAGATTTTGTCTGATGATAGATTTTGATGATATGGTAACGTTATCTGATAACATTTTGATGATATGGTAACGTTATCTGATAACATTTTGACGATATGGTAACGTTGTCTGATAAAATTTTGATGATATCGTCACGATGTCCGATAACATTTCGATGATGTGGTCTGTAGAGTTTTTGATTCATGGAACATGCTGCCTGATAGGATTTTAATTGTCTGGTCCCGGTGCTTCATAATATTTTGAAACCTGAGGGTAATCGTGCAAAACATCGAAGTATAACTTGATTGCCTGGCACTGGTATAACTATAACACTTGATCTTAGGTGCGATAAAAATCTGTAAACTGTACAAAATTGAAGCGGTTAACAGATGCATTAGTACTTAGTGCTAAAAAACGGCAGTTGTTTTTCCTCATGATTTATATTAAACACATAAAGTATGTGATTGGGCGAAAAATGATCAAGAAACTAAGTAATTATCACTGAACGGGCAATTTCCTGAGTTTCGATGGTAAAACCGATTTGCAGGAAGTAGCACAAACTTTTAAAACTAAAATTCTGTTTCTCAAAATATTTAATAAAGGATGACGTAGAAAATTCCAATTTTGAGCCTTGAAACAGACTGGCTTAATTGTCACGATACGCATGTTCGCAAACGATTCCTGAACAATGAAAATTGCATGTGTTCTCAAAAAACATATAAATTTTTTCAGTTTCGTTGAATTAGAGATCTCGATAATTCTATCATTACGTTTTTTTGCGCCATGATTTATTAGTCTTCAAGTTTGATTCTGCGGCAAATTGGCCTTACAAAAAATTTTGCAACTTATAAAAAAATATATTTTTTCATTTCGTAATTAAAGAACCTAATGTTGTTTATTTATTATCAATTAACATGTATAATGTTTATTTTCAAAAATATTTGTTTTCCTTTTCTTAACTATCAACCAACAGGCTGCGCTGCGGCAAGTTGGAAAAATTATTTAGCATTGCAAATAAATTATTTTCAGTTTTCATTTACAGCTTTAAATTTTAAAATTTTTAACGTTTTTTCTCATTTCTGGAAAAATGCGTCATGTCCATCTGTCAGTCCGTCTGTCCTTGACCTCACGTTTTCGTCGACGAGAAAATTAGCTCTCTGTCACTCACTGCAGTGAGTACTGAGTTATATTTTTTCTTCATTTTCAGGGAAATTCGCTACATTATTTGCCTGTCTTTTTGCCTGTCACCTTCTCAACCATGACGACTATGTTGGCTGTCATAGTAGCAGTGGTAGCGGTGAGTTCAAAGTCTGCATAGTCAATTGAGTTGTCTTGTTTGTTTAGTTAACTTGGGATAAATTATTATGACGCCGAGTTAATCTTAAAAACAAATGACAAAAAAATTTTATTTTAAGTCTAATAATCGCATAATAGTTACTTCAAAATTCACTTTTATTCACTTTCCTTAATTAATTCTATTAATGAACTAATATATTTTTACTTCTGAATTATTCCATTAAGTGAACTACTCAATTGACTAATTAATTTATTTTAATTTCTCGTGACCAGCTGCTGGGTGTCTCAACAGGGCTCGCTATGCCAGAAATGAAGAGTGCACTTGTACCGCAGCCTCAACCGCTTGACGACAGCCGGGCAGACGTGAAGTTTGTTGAAGTTTCCCAGTAAGTTCTGGAGCAGCTGCAATGAAATTAAATGATCTTGTTTTCATCGGAACCATAACAAATCGGCATTTATTTACCAAAATATATATTTAACCAAATGGATGCAGTAATGAAATCAAATCAAAACTAAACGACGCTAAAATTTAGCACAAGCAATAGGGAAATTCGGCATTGGTTAATTTGGTTAGGTTTAATAGATTAAAATGGGAAAATTAGTTAAATTTCCTGTTATGTGATGATTAGATGCCATAATGACACACACAGTGAATATGAAATATTATGGCAGGGATAAACGGTGCCAGGTAAGGAAAATGTATTTTTGCGTTAAATGCATCAGATTTTTTGCACTTGATCCACTAATCGCATCCTAGAAACAATTAAAATTGATTCCGAGAACCACAGGGGGAGGCATAAAATTGGTAATGACAACTGCCGTTTGTAGTTATATTTTATGTCGAGGTTAATGCGACAGTTGTTTATACTGTATCAGTACGATCACAAATATTACCTGTCAATAATTTTTTATGCTGTTAAAAATGTCCAGCATCCTTTGTATGACCTCATACAAGGTATTCTTAAAACCTTCTTTAAGAGTCGAGTTTTGGCTTAAAAAACAATAGGCGGTTATAACCTGAAGCTCGGCAGTTTTTTTATTTACATTTGAACGCATCGCTTCTAAATAGTTACTACCAATATTATTCCAGTTTAATCCACTAGAGCCAGTTCCTAGGTGGCCACAGATACCGTGAGAAATGCTGTACCTATACTTTCCCAGCTGCCCACCGATACCACACTACATGCTGTACACACTTCCACAGGTGCCCACCAATACCATAAGAAATGCTGTACCCAATTCTGCAGGTGCCCCCTGGTAACAGGCATCCAGCTAGACGTAATTAAGCCATGCATCGCCCGGTCGTCCGGTCTCTGTATGGATGACACGGATTGTGATGGTGAAAAGGTTTGCTGTCCTGCGGACGACTGCGGCAACAAGCAGTGCGTTAAGAAGAACAAATGGACGCCACCATCGCTTGGATGAGAGTAACTGGACATGTGAGTTCTCTGAGCACCTGCATCTAAAAGTGTTATGTCTCATAGTTGAAGCTGATAACTAAGCAGTGTGTTGTAGTAGAAGTGATCTCTAAGAACCTGCATCTAAAAGGGTAATGCTTCTTAATTGATACCTAATCATTTTTAATCATCATTTACATTTAATTGATACCTAATCAGTATATGCCATTGTAAGGGTATCAATGAGGCTAAACGGCATCAATCGAACCGGTGGGTAATAATGGACACATCACACAATAACTTTAATGAAATATAAATGAATTGACAACTTAACTTAGGAACAAGACAAGATCCGATGAAGGAGTGCAGTTAGCCGACGGGAGAATCCCAGACGACTGACGGTGCAGTTATGGAAGACTGACGGTAGGGTTACGGACGACTGACACTAGAGTTGCGGGCGACAGGAGGTAGAGAGGGGAAGGCTGAAACACCTGGAACTGTACTCACTGGAGAGAAGAAGAGAAAGGTATATCATACTGTACACTTGGAAGATGATAAACGGACTGGCTTCCAACTTTGAGAGTGAAACCTCCAAAATAATGACATATTACAACGAAAGAAGGGGGAGACTGTGCAGGATTCCCCCATTTAATAATCGAGCCGCGGCCAGAGTACAGACTCTTCGTGAGGGATCACTGTCCGTGGTAGGACCGAGGCTCTTTAATGTCTTACCAAAAGCGCTGAGAGGAGGGGAGTTTACTCTTGCAGCATTCAAGAGACAACTGGATAAGTGGTTGAGAAAGATCCCGGATTGTCCAGTAATGGGAAACTACCAACAGCAAGTGACAAGCAACAGCATCTTGCAGCAGGTGGCCCAAAGGAGGGCAAATAGACGGAACACGTCCAACGTTACATCCGACGACGACTCGGAGACGGAGGACGACGAAGGCGGCGCATCAGCGTGACCGTGGACTACGACGTCCTAAAACTCATCATAAGGTCATAAGGTCATAAGTTGAAGTTGATACCTAAGCAGTGTGTTGTTATAGAAGTGTTCTCTAAGAACCTGCATCTAAAAGTGTAATGCTTCTTAATTGATACCTAATCATTATTTAGTATATGCCATTCAAATGACGAGTTTGTTTAACACGTTGACTCCGAAGTGGTTCATATGCGTACCACGAGGTGTATTTCTCCAGGAAGTACTGGTGCATATAATTCATAATAGTACAAAAAATGGAATAATAGTACATGCTGAAGAAACGCATTCAACGTGCTAATAAATGATTTTTTTATTGCAGGTAACGAAGAGAAGTGAACTGTTGACGCAAACAGCATTGATTGTCCCTCGATCATCGTTTCAGTCAATCGCCAGTTGGACGCATGTAGTTTATCAATAAATCATATCAAGCCTAATTTACTGTCTTTACTTAACATTCTATTTTCTGGTCTTATATTGTTTTACCAACTTAACTATTTGTTTCCTGATCTACTCATAATATGAGTAGATCAAGTATATTATACTGAAAAATTCAACTACGGATCACATATAGTGATCCGTAGTTGAACAGGTAGTTTATGTTAGGCTGAGCGACCTTCATTTGTTCGTGACTTCATTGAATAAAAGTGAAGGACAAGTTATGGGGGGATGCAGCCCAGAACATAAATTTTACTCCTCAATAAGCCCTGGAGCCGACGCCTAGCCTCAGCATTCAATAACACCGCTTAGTCGCAGAGCTACTGTACAAGACACAAACTACGCTGGTACACTTTAGTCCAGGCCAGCGACAAGCTGCTTGAAATTAAAGTAAGTCGTCAGCCAATAGTTGAACACGCTCGGTCAAAAGCAAGCAGTTCAACGTCCGGCCTCACCCATACCGGCCTAACCTCTTCTGGTCTAACCTATTCACTCAGCTCCGACTGACAACTTTCTAACAGCCAATACCTGCTCATTTGAGTTTCCTCTCTAACTTCCTCCAGCCAATGAGGTTAGGTTAGGTCCGCTCAGGTTTGTTTGGGGTGGAGAAATGTTGCAACGTGTGTAGGTTAGGCCAGAAGAGGTAAAGCCGGAGTAGGTTTGGCTAGATGCAGTCTGACCATGCTTAACTTGGGCATGCTTAAGCGGTGTCTGTGGACATACGGCGCTATACGGTAAAGAACTAGACTTCATAGGCTGCTATGCCATCTAGCGTGCTTATCTTCTGAAAGATTATGAGCTAAAGCGTAGAGTTGGTAAAGATTCTGACCCAGATTTCTCGATCTCATGTCTAGGCATCTTTCACTTCAGCGTAACTTCAATTCTGTTGACAAAAAGCAGATGGAATTTAAAGAAGGCAATAAATTGGATATTGGCCGATTCAGAAATTACAAAAAGTAATATGAATTATAATTCCATATTATAACTTGATAAATTATTCAAGATTTTGTGGTAATTTATTTAATGAGAACGTGCTCATTAAATGAAATGAACGGAAATTAGTTCCATAATGAACGACAAGTGCACTCTTGGAGCAGTTGTGTGTTTTCACTTTTCAGTGCAACGATCGTTGCCTCTCCACGGATGTCTCTCCAAGCTAAGTAAGCCATCCTGCGCCATATGTGATGTTGGCTAACTGCCGCTTGTCTTCGTTATAAACCATAAGAAGCAGCAACCATAAGCATACAAGGGCAATACATACAGGGTTTTATATGGTCTGACTGTTAAAAAATTGGTTGTCAATTCATATATGTATTACCATAATACATATCCTTACATCTCTTGTCTGCGTATGCGTATTACCATCGTATGTCAATTCAACAGGGCAATACATACAGGGGCAAAAAAAGAAGCTGCAACCATATACATATACCATATTTATCGTTATAATAATATTAATAATAATAATAATAATAATAGCGGTTTCAGTGTTTATTAGGCCGTAGGCCTGTCGCCGATTCTTAACATCGCAGAACATTCCCAGCATTTTGCGGTCTCGAACTCGCAACTCACTGCTACAATTCTGCTGCGCTGTCGTCTTGATAAATGCCACTTGCCTCAGTTAAGTGACTGGCCGGTGGTCTGTATTGTGCAGTGTCTGAAGACTTACTGGCCGGTGGTCTGCATCATCGGGATCATCATCAGGAGCATCATCAGGAGCTTCATCAGGAGCATCATCAGAATCATCATCAGGAGCATCATCAGGAGCACCATAATTAATATAGCCATTATTTGAAAGCAGTTTAATAAATTTCCTGAGCACTGTCCGTGCCATTTTTTTGTATCAACATAGGTTTCCATTTCATATAACCATGGAATTATACACCCAACAATTATATTGCTCATTGGTAGTGATATTATTCACTTTAATTGAGCGGTACGATACACAAAATCAATGAAATTCATTAAGGAATGGCATAGAAATGATAAAAGGGTTTCACTCACTCTCCGGACATGGATTTTGAGCAAATTTTGTTTTCGCATCCGTCGCCCGGACAACATAAAGCCGATGTCTCAATCGCTTGCAAATGTTCACTAGAAACGTAAACCTACAGAGCTCAGGCTAGGGGTGATGTATTCAGGTTAAACACAGCAGTACATTGTAAATAAATTATAGAAAATATAGAATTGCGTATTAATCTTGATGCACAAATTTTTTTTCCTGTTGCATACTGTACCGTTGAATTGACGAGCAAGAAAATCGAGGAGCTGTAGCACCTGATTATGCAATGAAAAAAACTTGTTTTTACTGTAGAAACTGTAGGCATTACATAATACGTGAAGTGTCATGTATAACTGACTGATGGTACTTTCTATTATATATAAAACTTAGAAAATATTATGGTCACATTGGAAATAATCAATTAATGGTTAGAAACGGAGAAACATACTTAATGAAGCATCCTTTGCGATAAACCATTCTCTTTTCTAAAATAAAATTTAATCCATTCAGAAAATTTTTTACTATATCATGGGTGCAAGTCGGTCTATTGAACTTCTCTTACAACTTAACTATTGAACTTCTCTTAAAACTTTTGTATATTTCATGATGACACTAATGCATCGAACATAATGGGATAGATTCAATACTGCATTCAGTTAAATCGTGTATTCACTGGTGTAAGTTGCTGAAATGCAATACTTAGTGTAACGTGGAACAGAAATAGCAGGATAAGTCGTATTATGTGCAACTGGAATTGCAGGATAATTAAACAGGTTAGGTCGTGAAATTTGGAAGTTGAGTCACAGGATAGAACGTGTCTGGTCGTTCTACCCTTGTACGTCGGAGTTAGGAAGAACAACTTAAGTTTATTGCAAGTTTGGTCGGGGCTAATTTCGTGTCAAGCCGAAAGCCTGCTTCAAAGTCAGGCCAATCGCAAATTATGTGTTGCTTATAAAATTATCTATTGTATGACGGCAACATGATGTGAGTCGTGTTAGAGAATTGAAATTGATGATATTTTTCATCATTTATACACGATGCGTGTTAGAGAATTGAAATTGATGATATTTTCCACCATTAATACGCGATGCGTGTTAGAGAATTGAAATTGATGATATTTTCCATCATTCAAACACGATGCGTGTAAGAAAATTGGAATTGATTATATTTATCAGGAGCATCATCAGCTGAGCATCATCAGGAGCATCATCAGGAGCATCATCGGGAGCATCATCAGGAGCATCATCAGGAGCATCATCAGGAGCACCATAATTAACACAGCCATTGGTTGAAAGCAGTTGAATATATTTCCAGAGCACTGTCCGCGCCAAATTTTTTTTTCAACACAGGTTTCCGTTTGATTACACAATCCATATAGCCATGGGATTATTCACCCAACAATTATCTAGATCCTTGGTAGTGAAAATATTCACTCAGAGTGGTACGATACACAAAATTAATGAAATTCTTTAATGGATGGCCTGGAAATTATAGAAATGGTTTCACTGACTCTCTGGACTTGGATTTTGCGCAAATTTTGTTTTCGCATCCGTTGCCTGGACAACATAAAGCCGATGTCTCAATCGCTTGCAAATGTTCACTAGAAACGTAAACCTACAGAGCTCAGGCTGGGGATGATGTAGTATTCAGGACAAACATAGCAGTACATTGTAGATAAATTATAGAAAATATAGAATTGTGTATTAATCTTGATGTACAAAAGTTTTTTTTTTGCATAGTGTACTGTAGAATTGCGAGAAAGAAAATTGAGGAGCTGTAGCACCTGATGAGGTAATGAAATAATGGAAAAAAATCTTTTTACATTGGAATTGGAATTGTAGGATAAAGAAGGTTAGTAGCGAAATGTGGAAGTGGAATCACAGGATAGAACGTGTCTGGTCGTTCTACCCTTGTACGTCGGAGTTAGGAAGAACAATTCAAGTTTGATTGCAAGTTTGGTCGGGGCTAATTTCGTACCAAGCCGAAAGCCTGCTCGAAAGTCAGGCCAATTGCAAATTATGTATTGCTTATTAAATGATTTACTGTATGACGCCAACTTGAAGTGATTCGGCTAGAGAATCGAAATTGATGATATTTTCCATGATTTATACGCGAAAAAAGAAATCATACAGTCCTAGTTGTTTGAAATTATATTTTGTCACAAGCTAAACATACTTCAGTCATACATGAGTTGAATCTGAACTATGCGATTCTGAAATATTTACTTTATTATCACCAAGAAACCTCTAAGGTTTTCCGAATGAAATGATCGTCATCATTTTTATTGGTTTGACATTCTATTTAACCTGGAATTGAGCATTGGAATACCATTAACCATGCTTCCATGTATAACCATGGATTGCATATTGAATGAGATCCATTGACACAGTACACTAATTTTTAGATTTAAATAAGTCCCAATCGAATGGAAAAATTCGAATTTAACACAAATCCGCCGCAAAAGGTTATATCCCATTACATGAACTTAAAGAATTTGAAATGAATAACTAATTTTTTCTATCAAACTCCTTTCCTTGAGTCAGACGAGAGGCGACAGCTTAACGAACATCAACTTAATAATAATCGCTAAATGTGTTACAGGAATTTGGTTTACCGCAACAACGCAATCCTGAGACGTGACAAACAATTTGTTATTTAATTAAAAATCTTAAACCTACCAACGAATTAAAGGTTTATAAAAAATTATGGTTCGGCATCACTCGTCTCCTGGAAATGATGATGTAAAAGATAATGTTTATCCCTCCACTGGTCCGAATTTAATGCCTTACGGAAATTATGGCCCACTGGTGTATTTTTTTCCAAATGTTCAAGTTCTTGACATAATGAGGTGAAGTAAGTGATTGAGGGCGCTCTACCGTGATTAGTGAGACAGCGCCTCGACAGAACATCAAATAAATTCTGAATTAAACTTGCGTTGGCAAGTTCTTGTCACCTAAAGATTAATGGTTTATAGGCCTAAAACGGAGAGAAGTTCCAGTGTTTTAGCTTTGAATCCAGTAGATTTTGAGTCAATAGAATCCAAGGTGTAAACAGAGTTGCTGCAGTGCTAACGCAGTGTCCCTGCAGTGTCATTGCGGTGTCGTTGCGGTGTTGCTGCAGTGCCACTGCAGTGTCACTGTAATGTCCCTGAGGCATTGTTGCAGTGTTAATGCAATGTTGCTGTAGTGACACTGCAGTGTCACTGCAGTGTCACTGCAGTGTCGTTGCGGTGTTGCTGCAGTGCCATGGACTCTGAGGCGACATTCATGTCATCGCTGCGGTATCCTGTTGATTGCATGCGACCAGAGCAAACACATACAGAGCGTTGAAGGCAAACATCTTGAATTGAAGAGCGTGGCTTTGCCGCTCAGCTTTGATACTAATACTAGGAAGATTGTAGATGGCCGAACATGAGCCTTTGACTGGCCTCCGATTAATCTATGAAGATTTTTGATAAAGGTACATTTGATGTCTGAACTGCATGGTGGTGTCTGAGATCGCTTGTCTTGTTTACACTCGCGAGACTTGGGCTAGGATTATCTGAGCGATGGTAAAGTCGAAGGGAAATTTAAAACTATATGGATTTTTGGTTAGAAAACTGTGTAAATAGGAAACGTGCTGTTTATAAAAACGCGTTGGTCTCTGACTTGTTTACTAGAGCTTAGGGCGAAGTAAAACGTGTTTTTTTTTATTCTGAAAGTGCATCTGCATTCGAAAATTCTTCAAATTGGAGCAAGAAGTTTATACAAAAACATCATTTCCTTTAATAACAAATAAATTCAGGTTAATCTACTGTACATCGTCGACTATTTGATTATTCGTTGACAGTAACATCTTATATAAAGCGTTAAGAGTTGCAGCTGGTTGATAATAAATACCAACTTGAATTTAAGTAACAAAAATTTTCAATCCCATTGCACAAAATTTGATGCATGATATTTTCATGTTCCATTATTCATACTAAACAAACGTACAATTGAGGGGAAACTGAGAAAAGTTAATTTTAATATTTTGCATGAATTCTTTCATTACTTGAAACACGTTGTAAATTACCTTTATTTGTATCTACAAATCTTCTGAGTCTCAGTTATAAAAGTGAAAAATCGAGGGTATCGGCTAATTTACTGCTGAACTGATTATTTAATTAAAATTGCTTCGTGTAAGTGTTTAGCCAAGTTGGCTAACATCGGAACTGTTAAATCAGTTTTCTGTTTCGCCTCTTCCGTTTAAATAAAAGTCCATTGCTACCTCACTCGGTGGTTTGTGTGACATTGTACAGTCAGCCTTCATTCATTCACTACTGACCGTACGCACCCAGCAAATGACATCACTATTCTCACTATATGCTAGTTCATAATTCATATACTGCACAGACATTTAATTGTTTCACAGCAAAAAAAGTCGCTATTCTGACCTTTGGTTACGCCGGATGAGATTATAAAATAAGTTGGATTTACTCGTTTTTGTCGGCCATTTCTATTGGTACATTATATGTAACATTATAGCAACCATATTACAGCATCAGTATAACATTTTTTGGAAGGATTTTATTGGACACAAGAACTTATATATAGTTATAGCTAAAAACGCAGCCGCAATTCAGAAAAATTTACTGACTTTACTCAATGATACGTTGAATTAAGTGAGCACATTAAAATTACGTTATTTTCATTAATTATTTTCTAAAAAGAATTCATCTTGTCTTATAACTATAAGATACGACCGCCTTCAGCGGACTTGCTGTCGTATCTTAACTAACTTGCTGTCGTATTTTAACAGAGGACTTAAGATCTGAATATTATCTAAGTGAATAATTGGCATTTAGTAGTTGTTTGATGCAAGCACCACCATAATCACTGATCATTTTATTACCGCTTGATTGTTCATACTGCCTCCTCAATTTCAGCCTGACCGACTAAATCAACTTGTTCACGTGTTAGATACTGTATATTCACGCATACTTTAATTAACTATCCATACAGTTTAAACTATCGTATCCCATACTATTCTGGTCAACTCACGTACCGTTCGCATAGCACTATTGTTATACTTCATACTTTATGTGAGAGCCATATTGCCACAGATGGCGTCTACTGCACTACCTGGCGTCTACTGCACTACCTGGCGTCTACTGCACTACCTGGCGTCTACTGTACTACCTGGCGTCTACTGCACTACCTGGTGTCTACTGCACTACCTGGCGTCTACTGCACTACCTGGCGTCTACTGCACTACCAGGCGTCTACTGCACTATCTGGCGTCTACTGCACTACCTGGCGTCTACTGCACTACCTGGCGGTTACTGCGCTAACAGATAATGGTCCAGAGATTTTTTCATTATCTTTATCCAAAGATTAAATCAAATTAATCGTTAGCTGATGTGAGTGCGGGGTTCGCAGTGCACACAACAATATTTCAGCGAAGTGTGCACTGGGGAAAGTGTGTTCATTTAACACTGTGTGTGGCAGTTATTGGGCATACTGTGAAGTGCACACTGAGTTTAGGACACGGTATAAAACATTCACTGTGCTTGATGCTATGGACACTGCCTCAGTGTTATACCATCACTGGCATGGACACCGACCGCCTCAGAGTCGTCACTCACCGTGAGCTTGTCGTGAGCTAATTTTAACTACACAACATACCTTATGACCTTATACTGAGTTTAGGACTTCTTAGTCCACGGTCACACTGATGCACCGCCTTCGTCGTACACCTCGGCTTTCAAACGATAAGCGACGATGATTCTTCCTTCCCCGTCTAACCATAAACAAATACCAAAAACTCATAGATATAAAACCTAAATATGAAAAAACGAATTTTTCATCTCCTACTGTGATTTCTTTCCTCCTTCATCTTTCCGGCCACTCGTGTTTTTTTCCTTCTCTATTTAGTGGCACCATCACCACCAAGGTGCTGATAAAAATACGATAATCATACAGCTTAAAATACTTGGACAACGAATAAGATATCAACGACTGCTGAGAACCAGACACCTCTACTGATATGGGTAGCCAAAAAACATAAAATATTCGTATAATTAAGGCCATTTATCATAGACGGTAACTCAGAATTTCCGAATGAAGTAAGAAGTTTCCGTGTCTCTATACCCAGCGTTATTGCTTCAAGGCATGTGACAATGCCAAGGCATTTCCCACATTGTGTCATCAATCACTGGGTCAAAATAACAATAATTTAACGATTTAGTAACTCTGTACGTCATTATTAATTCTTGGTTAGAACATAACAGTGAGCCAGAGTTAAAGAAGACATCTTACTTACAGGACTATGGTATAGAGTGGGTAACAATCTCCGTTGTGAAGTGTCCAGCGTATTCTATCGCAATTAATGGCTGCCGAATGTATAATTCAATCGCCCTATGGATCATACTGTATATCCCAGTAAAAATTTACGGACGCTGCAGCTTCTGATTTGGTTTACCAGAAGCTGGGGCGACTCTAAATTTTGTTAGGGATCTAGCGGGATGGAACATGTGGTGGCTTTGCAAGAAACATACAACACTAATATGACATTGTGCGCTTGGCGTAACAGAGCATTTATCGATGGTGACAAATACTTTTAGCAAAGTTTGCTTCACACAATTTTAACGAAAATAACCACTCTGCGAGGTCAGCAGAGTGACATCACTTTAGGTTAGGTTAGGTTAGGTTAGGTTACATTAGGTTAGGTTAGGTTAGATCAGGTTAGGTTAGGTTAGGCTAGGCTAGGTTAGGTTAGGTTAGGTTAGGTTAGATTAGGTTAGGTTAGGTTAAACATAATGATTATTAGCAGGCGCCACAAGGCTCGAAGGTCGTATGATGGTGAGGGCTGCAGCTCAAAGGATCGTTGTTAGGAGCTATAGTGCGTGGTATACTCGTGAAGGCAATGACAGTCATTGCGCATCGCTGCTCTGGTGGTCTGCTACATGGGTATTCACATTTAGCTCTATTTTAGCACTGAGAGGTGTGCGGTAGTTCATCTTTGTGTGGGATATATTGATTTGTGTTTCATACTTGACAATGAGAACAGTGATTAGCAATATGAGCCATCTGATGGCTAGAGAACCTATAATATTTTTTTTCTCACTAGTTATCTTTACTAAGGCCTCGGCAATACCAAGCGGCTCAGGAGACACAAATCAAATCCTCTCTGATGACTTCTCATTAGGTACAAAGAATCAAACATCGACGAATAACAACAGTTCCTATCAGCACAACGTTTCAGGTACATTCATAATTACGCGGCAATATCAAACAGCTCAGGAGAAATATATCAAACCATCTCTGATGACTTCTTATTAGGTACAAAGAATCAAACAGAGAAGAATAACAACAGTTCCTGTCAGCACAACGATTCAGGTACATTCATAATTCATATAAGATATGGTCAGTATTTCTTAAAATTTATCCCCTCTGAAGTGTAGCTTTCACGCTTTTGAGCGAAAGTAATAAGTTGATATTGACAGATTATTAATTGTATTATTAAGTTGATATTGACAGATATCGGTGCACTTTTAATTTAGAATTTATACCCACGATCTAGTCTCAACATTTGTCCAGAAAAGGAATGAGATTATTCATTTATGTAATTATTTCTAAAATCAATTAGCGGTGCTATAAATTTTCACGATTGCCAGTTATCATTTAGAAAAAAGTCTCATGAGTCATTAAGAAAAAAAAATTGTATTCTGAAAGCAACTAAGGGTGAAGCTTAAGGTTAAAAAAAAAATTGTATTCTGAAAGCAACTAAGGGTGAAGCTTAAGGTTAAGTGCGTTGGTGATGATGTGCGTTGGTAATCATGTGCGTTGGTGATCATGTGCGTTGGTGATTATGTGCGTTGGTGATCATGTGCGTAGGTTATCATGTGCGTAGGTGATCATGTGCGTTGGTGATTATGCACATATTACAAATAAAATCAATAATATGTAATATTTTACAATCAAAATTTCATACGGTTATATTATATCCCCGCTTATTAATCATTGTTGAAAATAGAATTGTGTTCCCTCATGACGTAAAGGTTGTATTGAAGTAATGTTTTCTCATGGATCTTTTTTTCGGCAGTGGGTGTCGACATTTACGGACTGCAAAGGGAATTGTCTGGAATGGCAAGTAGAGATTTATTTGATCATCTTGAACCAACATTTTTGATCACCTCCAGCCCCGACCAAATAGATCCCTGGGTAGAGTATCACATAATGCTAACTAAACTATATAATTTCTAAATAATCAATTGACTTTTAAAATTTATGAGAACATGAATAAATTTCCAACTTTAAATCTACATAATTATTGCAGAAACTAAAGACATGTTTGCATGGACTTTCCGCTTAATAGAATCAACCCCAATACTAAGTTACTTGTAACCACTGATCAAATGTCGACTTTTCAGGTATTGAAGCTATCCGAGGGATGGCTGCACAATATGTCACTGAATCGTGATGGCCCAGTTTACATCCTTGTATATGGCTGGCATTCATCTGGCAATTCTTCCAACAGTTTTGCGACCTCTTCTCTTGTGTCGAGCTTGACGTGGGTAAATCTATGCAAGACTAAAAGCTCAGCAAGTGTACAACCGCAACTTTAATTCATTTGCGCAGTGCTCGTCTTGTTGGACACGCTAAACTAGTCAACCATTCCGTCATTTTTTATTAGATCATAAATATTGACACTTATTGAAGAAGCCTGAAACATAAGTTATTCTTCCTCTCGACTATCGCTAGATGCTTACCTGAGAACTCGATGAAGTAAATTAAAAATGTCAGCCAAAAGCTAACCTGATCAAATGGTGTTTCGAATGTTCATTGGTGCATGCAACAATATGTTTTTTGTTTACATATCATCAGGTGTTGACAGGCGAGCTGTTAAGGACTAGTGTTACAGCTAACGTGGTAGAGATGGACTGGAGAGTCGGCGCCAGTGAGGACTATAAAAAGGCGAGAAGGAACGCCAAGTTCGTGGCTCGAAGATGGCTCGCCCGTTTCATCGAGAGCTTACAGGTGATGTCAAGCGAGCGCATCCGCACTGATAACACGTTGAATACGTATTGGTACATATGTGTACCACGAAATGTATTTCTCCAGTACGTAGTGGTATATAATTCAGGTTGCCTTAAATCGGCCAAATCCGATAACAAAAAGGGCCAAAAATGGCCGATAATTCAATGTATACTAGTTTATTTGTATGTTCCGCTATAAAAATTTCATTTATTTTCTTTTTGCAGTATTTAAAATTTAATTAGGAAGTACCCCTATCATAAATTTTAGCCGGCCAACGCAATTGAGAAAAACTAAATCACGGAATTTGTCCGGAAAAATAGACCGTCTGGCAACCCTGCTTAATAAAAGTACAAAAAATTAAATAAAAGTACAATATGGAGCATTCGTAGTCAACGTGTTAACGCAGGAATTAAACTGAAAAATTATTTAGTTTAGTTGGAATATTTTACATATACATATATGTATAATTTTGTGTAGTTCTTCATGGAGTGTTCTTTTTCAGCGGGTCCACGGTATTCCTCAAAGCAAATTTCACTTGATAGGACATAGCATGGGGGCACACCTGTGTGGCTTTGCCGGGAAATTTTTGCAGAAAAAATATCGCATCAATGTCGGAAGGTACTATAAGTTATAAAATTATGCTAAAAATTATATTACATCATATTATAGTACATTAAATAAAAGAATTTCATGATAATATGAAGATATGGTTTCTAAGATTAAATCAATCACTGTAATTCGTACTAAAAAAGCAATACTATAGAATGTGATGCATTCATTTACGATTGTAAATATAATAGGTTTATAGCTCCGCAACCAGCCATGCCTCGAAAGAAATTTAATGAGCTTTATCAAAAATACGTTTTAATCAATTGATCACTACTCAAATATTGCAATATCAGTTAACTTGAAACAAGAATTGCTTATTTGCAGGATAACAGGTCTAGACCCAGCAGGACCTGGGTACGCAAGAAAGAGTAGTTCAGGACGACTTGACTACAGCGACGCACATTTTGTGGATGTCATCCACACCGACACGTACGGGTTAGGGCGTAAGTGCAGATAATAATACCACTAATTTCAATGTTTTTTGGCCGATGACTTAATTATCGTTATTTATAGTTTCGCACGTAAAAATTATGAGGTTTACTGGTGATATTTAATTAAAAAAATTCGTCGCACAGATTCACTCGACTTTTTAATGTATGAATACCAACTAATAACGGGAAATAATGATGAATTTAAGTGCGAAATGTATTCAAAAATATTACATTATTATACATGATCTCGTGACCTGCATCTAGATTGTTATCGAAGTTATTATGCTTATTTATTCTTTTTGAGAAAGACTTGGGACTGGCTGAGCCCATCGGGCACCTCGACTTCTACCCCAACGGCGGGGGATCACAACCAGGGTGCTCGGGTGAGTTGATTATCATGTATTTTTAAAATAATTTTGTAACCGTCAACTGCTTTCTCTTCTCTTGTAGTATGTAGATTGGGGAAGAGTATGTCGACACTTTAGCTTTCCTTCTCCATCTACTTAATACTGTATACGTTCTCCAAATGCATTCATCCTTTCGTCCATGTAAAACAGAATATTGACTACCTCTTCTTCCTGTAATCATATTAGCACCATGTTTTACTCTCCACTCCCACTTGAATATCGTGTTTGATCAGAGTAGAGAGTTTGTAGGAAATTTTAGTATTGTATTTAGTAATTTTAGTATTAGTATTAGTAATTATTTTAGTATTTAGTATTAGTATTAGTAATTTTAGTAATTAGTATATAGTAATTTTAGTATTTTAGTATTTTTTCCGCGGCTCTCGTCCACAAGCGTCTGACTACCAGCCACAAATGTGAAAGATTTTACCTTCTTATACACCCCATGATTTTTATTGATGTATGTTGTAGTGTATATCATCAGCTTTCTTTTGAGCGCATATGATGAGCATTGTATGTAGGCTGCCTGAGATGAAAAAATTTTGGAATAAAGAATGAATTACAATTGAAAATCATCATTACAGTTAGTAAATTATTTAGAACAACTACTAAATTGTTCACTCTGCACAAAAACAGACCATAGATGTTCCCACTCGAGGGCGCTTCAACTCTTCATCGAATCAGTGAGGGTAGACTGCCTATTCCTGGTATTGAGTTATTGAGTTATTGAGTTATTGAGTTATTGAGTTATTGAGTTATTGAGTTATTGAGTTATTGAGTTATTGAGTTATTGAGTTATTTAGTTATTTGGTTATTTAGTTTTTGAGTTATTGAGTTATTGAGTTATTGAGTTATTGAGTTATTGAGCTGTCTCTTATACACATCTAGATGTGTATAAGAGACAGCGGTAAACCGTTAACCGTTAACCGTTAACCGTTAACCGTTAACCGTTAACCGTTAACCGTTAACCCTGTCTCTTATACACATCTAGATGTGTATAAGAGACAGCTCAATAACTCAATAACTCAATAACTCAATAACTCAATAACTCAATAACTCAATAACTCAAATACCTGTCTCTTATACACATCTAGATGTGTATAAGAGACAGCGGTTAACGGTTAACGGTTAACGGTTAACCGTTAACGGTTAACCGTTAACGGCTGTCTCTTATACACATCTAGATGTGTATAAGAGACAGGAGTTATTGAGTTATTGAGTTATTGAGTTATTGAGTTATTGAGTTATTGAGTTATTGAGTTATTGAGTTATTTGGTTATTTAGTTATTGAGTTATTGAGTTATTGAGTTATTGAGTTATTGAGTTATTGAGTTATTGAGTTATTGAGTTATTGAGTTATTGAGTTATTGAGTTATTGAGTTATTGAGTTATTGAGTTATTGTATGAGAGGTGGCACTAGGCCACTAGGGAAAGTGGTAAAATGCGGCACTGAGTGGACAGAACGTGGCAGTAGTTCTGTAGTAATAACACCCGAAAGTTTCGATGCTGATGTATCAGCTACCCAACTATTTTGTCCATTGGAAACCCAATCAATGCAAATTCAAACATTAATGGTCAAGGTTGAATTTGGGTTGGTGGAGGGGAAGGGATAGTACCCACCTTGATGGGCTTGCAAGGATAAGTGATGAGTTAGTGCTTGAATAATTACGTACATTGGGAGTAAAAATTCAATGACCATAAAAATTAAGATAAATATATAGTTTTTCTAATGTAAACAATTCGTAAACCAGCTCCCTCATCGGTAAAAAATTCAAGAATACTTATAAAATAATTTGTACGACTAAATAATATTTTAGAGATTTAAACATATATAATACGTTCTTTTCTACGTTCTCTTCTCAGTTACGCTCATGAATGAAGTGTTATCTATATTTCAATATTGGAAATGAAGAAATATTGTTTCATACAAATCTTAGTAACGATACGCCGAGGTTTGGTAGTAATAGTCTATGATTAAGGGAGCATGTCGGTTAAAAAAAATTTTATTTAGTGACGGATCATTATGAAACTTAGTACACATAGGTAGAATAGAGATCAACGACTTTTTGTTCAAGTAAATTTTTCGAAAAAATGAAAGAAAACGTGAAATTCGTAGAAAAAGGCAAAATAGGGTTACTGTAAAAATCGATCCCATCCTAGGATTTTCAAGCTATACAACATCGAGAGACATATCATTCGATGCGTAAAGACTAAATCTAGAGATCACCCGGTCGTTTTTTTATGTATTTTTTTAATTTCTCTGATTTTTTCAATTGTGAGCAATCCCCCCTTTTTAGCGCATTTATATAATCATTTATGGAAAAAAGGCGCTATATTGTGCTTGTCATATCTGTCCGTCCATCCGTCCGCCCGGACTTCACGTTTTCGTCGACGAGAAAATGCACTCTCTGTCACTCACTGCAGTGAATACTGAGTTATATTTTTTCAATATATAATTAAAACAAAAAAGAAATCGAAAAAACGACCTGACGATCTCTAGAAATTTTTCCTTGCGAATCGAATGGCATATCTTCGATTGTTGTAGCTTAGAGTCAAAGGAGGATATAGATTTTTAAGATGGCGTATTTTGGAAATGCTAGTTGTTCAGGAGAGCCAAATAAGTAAAATTTCTTGAAAAATGAAAAAAAACGCTGGAAAAATGTCTTGATACTATCGCCCAAGCTTTTCCGTTGATATTTACTTATATTTAGGGTATCATCAAGCGTATTTAGAATTATTCTTGTCCAGTTTGATGCAAATAATTTTTTTTAAAGGCCTCCCACACTCACCATTCCAACAAAAAAAAAAAGAATTGATTTTATTAATTAAAAACAGGGAATGGTTTCATGTCAATGATCAGGGCCCCGACCTTAACGCCTAATAATAGACTGTAATGTGATTTTTCTGATATGTTTATTTATATAAAATGGCCATTTTATAAAATTTCAAAACGCCCTTACGCAAAAAGTATTTCATGTACATCTATGATATTTGCTTTATTGAACGCGTCTTGTTTGCAGCTTTGAAATTAGGGCAAACACATGCTATTAAAGCGAATGATCTACAGATAAAATTCTTTAAATAAATTTTTTATTTATATATTGTTAGAAAATGGTCATTTTTTATCGTTCAAAACGACCTCACGCAATAATTAATTATTGCATATACATCCATGGTTGTTGCTTTATCGAACGCGTCTTGCATTCAGCTTTAAATCGAGCGCAAACATTTTGAAATAACACAAATAATGATCTATAAACACAGATTTAATTAAATAAATCTTTATAATGGTTATAAAATGTTCATTTCATGAAAGTTTGAAACTGCCTTGCACAGAAACAAGAGCACGCACATACGTGCTGTTTGCTGCTTTAGACGCGACTTTGCAGCAGCTACAAAAGGAGTTTAAAAATAAAAAAATCCAATTTATTTTATGTTGTACTGACACGCTCCCCTTAAGCTTATATTGCTACAGGGACCAGTGTCAACTGGGCGATACACGAGACTTTATAACTTAACTATAACTTTATATACTATCCGCCATAACCCATCGATTCATCATACTTCTTGCGAATCATCGCCAACAGGGAAATAAAGACAACCGCACACTTCGACTTGTATTCAACAACGCAGGGAAAAATAATGTGTGCGAAAGTATAGAAGTCATGTCTCAACTTCGGTGGATCTCTCTGCATGAGAGATGGAAATTAATTACTGCCAGATTCCACAGATTCCACCAATAATCAGTTCCTAAAGAACACACAATTAAACTTGACAAGATTTACTTTCGCTTAAAATACCTAAATTAGAACATATTACATATTAAACTTTACTCAATTAAGATTCAAGGTCAGGTCACAAAAGATAAAGTTATTAGCCCTACTTTAAGGGGAGCGTCTACCCTAAAATTGAAAATTTTCACTTTTTCGGTTTTTATACTCATTTTAAAGCTGACATTCTGCCCTATCCAACGGTACCACTGCCATATCTATACGTTGATTTATGATTTCACGACATTTCATGAAAGGGGGGCGGGTGGGGGAGTTCTTTAAGTAATTAGATAGGAACTAATTAGCTGCTGAGCTCTTTAAATATAGTGTCTACTTGAGTTGTGCTGCAGTTACGTGTTTAGTCTCATCTTAAAGCTGACATTCTGGCCTATCCAACGGTACCATTACCATCTCTGTACGTTGATTTGTACGTTCACGACACTTCATGAAAGGGGGGCGGGGGGAGAGTTATTTCAGTAATTACATAGGAGCTAATTCGCTGCCCAGCACTACAAATACAGTGTTTCTATGAGGTCTGACTCCGTGTGCCTCCGGGCTTTGTAGGGAGAGATGCGCATGTAGCCGCTCCCATCATCCTTGAGTGGAATCAAGCTCCAGAAACGTTTAGTTTGGTATCTATGCTACATTGAGCGCCTATTGCAGTGCGCTCGGGACTTTGTCGCGCTCTCCTCAACATTCACACTTATTGTCACGGAAAACCTATCTCCTCCTAGAGTTTTGAAGCTACAACAATGAGACATATATCATTCAATTTGCAAATAAACTATCTACAAAATGTTCATCCCGGTTTTACTAGTTTCATTATAGTTTGAATTTTATTCTGCAAAAAGAGGGGGGTGGCGGGGGGAAAATCGAAAAATTTCCGAACATTTTGGAAAAATGCCCCCCACTTCCACAAAAATTGAAATTTCAAAAAAAAGGGATGGACATTTTGTAGATGAAGACCTCACGCATCGAATGATATGTGTCTCAATGTTGTAGCTTGGAAATCCTAGGACCAGATCCATTTCTACAGTACCCCCTTTTATAGCCGTTTTCTAAGAATTTCACGTTTTCTTTCGTTTTTTCGAAAAATTCACACGAACAAAATGCGAGTTTTTTTCCATTTTACATATGTGTACCAAGTTTCAGAGTGATCCGACTGTAAATAGCTGAGATAATTTTTAGGGTAGACGCTCTCCTTAAATATCAGGTGATCAAGTACCTATAGTACACAGGTGTTCACTGTGGTGGCGCAGAACGAATGACAATAACATGGGCAACTTTTCCACACATAGGGCACGATTTGGGAACATTGCGCGGAAGTCTGATTTATTTTGGTTACAATGCATCAACATATGAAGTTTCTATAAAATTTATATTTCCATCCTCTGCAATATTATTTCTCATGTAGTGGACAAATTTTTGAGGAACGAGCATATAAAATGAATTCGAAGGCAAGTAAAACAAAACTAGAATTGAGCAGAGGAAAGAGAAATCTTTTCTTTATTTGAAAGCTGCAAGATGGTATAAATTGCCATCAACTCCACGAAATTGTTTTGTGCTGCCTAATTTGGGTAGCGGCTCCTCTTCAATATGCGTGAAGAGGCAAAGGAGCCGCAACTTGCTCCCGCGTCTGCCCAACCCGAAATTCTGAAGAATTGGAAACGGTGGTTAGGCGAGGCACAAAAATAAGCTCTGAAATTAGACGAAAAAATGTGCGATAAAAGGTCATCAATAAGTCTGCAAATCGTAGCAAAAAGTATATCGAGCAGATGCAAATTGTTGCCACACGTTTTAATTCAGATGCCATCTGGATTATTGAAGAGAAATTTGCAATGGAGCATTAATAAATTCTCAAATGTATCAAAGAATATTAATGTATCGGTATTTAAGGGTTTTATTATTTATTTGGGTTTTAAGTGAATAGGAATAGGATTTAACACCTCATCACAGTTTGCTACGTGCCTACGAAGATAGAGTGACGTACCTGAAGTGTTAAAAAAATCCTTCGGTGAATCGCTGGTTCTTGGAGCTGGTCACCGAAGAACCGAAGTGCCGGTTCTTGGAGCTGGTCCACGCCCGCGCAGAGGTAAGATGCCGGGGCCAAAGTAGTGGTCGCATCCAAAGAGTCAGCGTCATGTGTGCCACCGATGGTAGGACGTAGCGCAGACGTAGCCCACGTATGCGCCCAGGATCCCGGCCGTGCTCAAGCTAAGCTCCCATAAAAGGCTTTACTCCATAGGTTCAAAGGTAAACCGGGGCCGAAGATTCTTCATAAGTTAGTAGGGGCAATCTGACTTGAGGTGTCGACAGATACGGTGAAATTGAACCTGGCACGAAGCTTCAACAGCTCCCTGGGAGTTGCTGCTGCGAGGTCAGGCAACGAACTGGCGAAAATTCTTCAGAGAAGAGTGAAGTAAAGTAGGGGCGAAATGTTAGTTTCACGTTGGATGTGCACGCTAAAAAACTTCCAAAGTCACCCAAATCATATGATGCACTGAGCAGGTGCGAATGTGAAATCTATGCCCGAAATTTCTCAAAAATTAAAACTAAATCGCAGTATTTCGTTTATGCAGATGGAAGGAAACGCATAATTGAGTAAGAAATATGCTGATACATTATACGAAATGGGTACCAAACGAGTAAGCTACCTTTTATATAGCCCGCCTTCATGCGCACATAACCACTGCATTAATGCTCGTGTCTACGTCAATATATCGTGTCTAGAGTTGTGTCTCTGCAGGACAGTATCTGTCCTTTTCCGGACTATGCTCAACTTATCACATCTGCTAAACAGGGCATCGCCTCTTTCTTTCTCCGAATACATCCATTCAATTTACTAGCTCTACTGACAACAGTGAAGTCGGCATTTTCCCAGCTTGGCCTGAAAAAATGATCTCTACAGAGAGTATTTAATACTGAATACGATGCGGAGCTAATAATAAAGTTCATCCCACGACACGAGCGTGCCGCTTTGTTTTGTAAGTGCCATCTGTCAAGTATTTGGTCGTGTGTATTTATTGGGCACATCTGGTTATCGTTCGTATTATTTATAGCTTGATGCTTGATAATCATAATATTTAATTCCTTCTTTCAACCTCACTTTGCTATCTTGAAGGACTCAAAATCGAGAAATCTAATCCATAACACCACTTTGTACAATGAGTGTCAATTTTCAGGAGGACTGTTGGAGCTGCAATACCACCGCCAGAGCAAAATGCTCAAAAATGGGGTTCAGGGCTAAACCCATGAACATACCCCCAAAGTCCAAGCTTTTTGTCCATACCGGGTATTCTCCTCCATATTGTGGTAAGTGTACGAATATTGATATTTCTGCTCAAGAGTTGTTGTAAAGGAGATTCACTCTTTTTTTGACACTTCAGTTAATTTGCGTTTTTGGTTCTATTGTTACCGGTAAAGGTGCAGTACCGTGCGCATCTGCGCCGGTCGCTCTTTATTCTGCTTGGGCAAGTGCTTCCAATGTTATGAAATATGTATATCTTGTCCAAACGACGACGGTTGTAAGAACGTTAATAGGTTTTCAGATGATATTGAACTGTTCTTAAAGATATTCCAAAAGTATTATTCAAAATTGAATATATGTAACGATGAATATTCCAGCAGAAACTAATTGATAATTAAGCAGGGTTGTGAAACTCAAACGAGACCTTATTAGGTCTTTCACCCACACTCTAGGACGACCGACAACGTTTTTCACCTCCTCAGCTAGAGTTGTGTAACAATGCCCCAACTGCTTTATCAAAAGCCACCTCAAACTCGCCATTATTGCCAAGTTACATTTGTTTTTCATAGAGAATAGACTTCACTCGACAGCTTCTAACGACACATTGACCCTTGCGGATGGGAAAATACTGACTAGCTAATACTTCCCTCGTGTATAAGCTTTCAGCCTGCAAAACTGTGGCCCAGTGGCCCAGTGGTTAAAGTTCAGAGTACCAGGTTTGGAGCAGAGAAGCGCGGGTTCGATCCCAACTCTGTGCGCCAGTTTCTGGTCAGAATCGGCGAGGAGGCCGGGCGGTTAAGCATAGCAGAATTGAAGCAGCAAGTTGCGCGTTCGAGACCGCTACAAGCTGTGAATATTCTGCTATGTTAGGAATCGGCGGCAGGCCTACGGCCTAATAAGCGCTGAAACCGCTATTAATATTATTATTATTATTATTATTATTATTATTTTTATTATTATTATTATTATATAATAACTGACTTGAAGTACTTGCCGCTAATTCTGTCGGCTTAAACTTTCACCTTGTATAAGCACCTTTTATATTCATAGCGTACCTACCTTCACCATACTCTCGGTGTAGCGTTCCTAGTAGGCGAGTTGCAGTGGAAATAGAAGATAGGCCAATTCCATATGACTTTAATATAGCGTTTCAAATGGGTATGATTTGGTCTGTGAACTTTTAGTTTCTTAATTGATAGTTTGTGCTAGTGCTAGTTCGTGGTGTTGATCACCATTATTTTGCAGAACGGATTTATTGGTTGATAGCAACGTACGACTCCACTGTTCGGACCAAAAAGTACGGCTTTGATTGCAGGGGGCCAACAGGACGTCGATTACCCATTAGATCAAGAACGTATTACTACTGTTCTTGGTAACTATGTATGGCTGTGCACAGTTTGCCGTGCACTTTCTGCGTTGCACACCTGCCTTTTTCTGCGTTGCACACCTATCTTTTGCACCTTCTGAAGCCTTCTCGGTGCGTCCCTATTCAGTGCACCGCCCATGCTTGAACACGGACTACTGCGCTCCTTAGGTTCTAGTGGGGTTATGCGTCGAGAATTTATTATGACTTCTTTAATAGTTCGTTATTTGTTGTAATTTTTCTTCTTGCATCTATTCAATAAATACTAGTTTATTAAGCTTTCATTTCTCCTTTGTTGACGAACGGTGACGATGGGCTAAGTGATCGGATCTTGATTTAACCTTAGATTGCACCACCTGGGGTCATAATTTCAAAACTCGCTAAGTTAAAGTAAGTACTTACGATCTATTTTATTGTCTATCTTGTCTATGATTGGTGAATTTTACTTGAATGGCCGTTAATGATTGACTAATGAACTTACGATCTCTTAACTTTTTTTTTTAAAGTATGGGCCCTGATGAATAATTCCTGCTGAGCTACATTCAAAGCCTTAACTGAGTCAGGAATATTGAAAAAAATGCAAGGCATTTAATGCTACTAGTTTCGCGACACATTTTTCGCACTCAACCGAATTAGCTTGAGAAAAGAAAGTACTGTAGCTGGCGTAGAAAAATAAGAATTGCAAAATAGGCTACGGGTGACTCAAGGTTGTGGGTACGCGCAGGGTTGCATTTAGTGATAAGTTGGTAACGAAAGGTCGCTGGTAGCGCTGGAGCTGCAGGAGAAGCTGCAATACCATTTGTCAGGATCTGCAATACCACTTCGAAAGCAATACCACGAAGATTACACAACCATGACGGCTATCGTGATCTTCAGTATGCCAAAAGAATGAGGAACAGGAGAGATTTATAAATCGTTGATGAGTACTCCATTGATAGACAGTTTTTGGGTGCACCTATAGCTGTGCGGCTGAGGGTATAGGTAGACAATCTCTGGCCACATCATATTCGTTTTCTTAGTAGCTTTCATGATGAGAGATATGAAATTATTTTATGTCTATACTAAAGCGTATAACATACTCAGCATATCATTCGCTTAGTTATTATTACAACTGACCTCTGTCCAGGGATAGCTTCCTGGCCCACATGTCTTGTTAGGATTTTAGCCTTGTTCTGGCTAGAATTCCAAGGGTCACTCGATAATAGCCAGGCAGGAATAATTAGAAATCAAGGCTTCCGAGAACTTAATTTTAATCTTATTTATTTAGGTTTTGTTAATTAAACTTCGGGACAAAAAACGCCGCAAATAAATAGAAAGTCAAATAATCAAAAAATAAAAGTGCTTTCAAATTACTAAAGAATTCAGGTTTAATGACATTTAAATAATATTGTTGCCAGATGTATCAGAATGAATCACTTATGACTGCAGGTTACTGAACTTACGTGAATGGCTGCCCTATAGGAATTATTAAACTTGAAACCTAATTAAGGTGGAATTCGGTTGCTTTACCCTAGTCGTGAGAGCTACATAAAATTACGTTACACTGGTGATAAATGGATAAAATTCACAAATCATAATAAATTGACAAGGAATGTATAATACTTATAACTAATCGGCCTATGGAGTAGCGCAGCTGTAGCGCTACTCCCAGCACAAGCTATCAACACAATGTGCGAGCGGGGCGGCCGTTAATTTGAATACTGTGACGTCCGCGCTATTGACGTACGAATAAAAAATTTAACGTCATGCGCGTATACTGGACGTGACAAGCCTCTAATCGAAAAATAAGATTAACCATCGAGTGTAGGTTGGTCCGTGCATGGAACTACTCAATTAGGAACCATTCGCTCTCTCAGACCATAAGTCGACCATGTTGTCTCGCACGTCCACACATTGTTGCTTGGCAGACCATAAGTCGACCATGTTGTCTCGCACGTCCGCTCATTGTTGCTTGGCAGCGTCCTTACTCATCCTGCTTTTCACCCCCTTCAGCCACAAGCCGGATTTCACCCTCTCGCCCTCTACCTGAGATCCACTTAGACTATCATATAACTTTCATTTTAAATTACGTTCATACTGGGTTCGTGTCCTGTGCATTTCACAATTACTGCCTTAATTTCTGAACTTCAATGCCTTTGGTTTTTCTCTTTTTACCTTTTTTATTTTCACACGGTCGAGGATAGTATTTTGGATTGTTGGTAATCAATTTAATTTTAATATTTAAATTTACAACTATAATATTTATATCGCAAGTTTGAATCACTTCAGACCATAAATTCATGTTATTAACATTTGTTTTGATCGTTTTTCAGAGAGTCACACAGTGTTTTTTGCTGGTTCCCTATGCAAGCTTTATTGAAAGAGCGACGTTTCGAATGAACATTATTCATCTGTTTCTGCATAGCCTAAAACTGAAATTTTTAAACGACGTAGGTACACATACTCAATATTATGGACACAACTCGGATATTAATTATTATACTACAATCAGTCGAAAATATTTTTAAAAGTCCTAACGAATACTGCATTGTAAGCTGGCGCCGGTATATTTTAGAGACGCGTGTAGTACAGTTTCTATATCAGAGTGCAGGGGCCATACTTTCAAAATTCGCTAAGTGAACGTAAGTACTTACGCTCTATTTTCTTGGCTATGATTGGTGGATTTTGCTTGAAATGACGTCAATGATTGGCTGATGAACTTACGTTGACTTAGCGAGTTTTGAAAGTATGGCCCCAGGACAGTATACCTGCAGTACTATACACAGTCTTGATATGTGTGTTTAACACTATTTCTGTGGTAGGTTCAATTTACCCGAACTATTGTCTCCGCCATAGTTAGATCAACGTATAGTGCGCAATCGAAAGTTTTCTCTGGATGTGTTTACTGACTTGTTAATTGTGTAAGTAAATCAGCCATGTACCTCAAGTTGCGTCATCTACGTATGCCATAGACCAGGGGTTAATAAGAGGCACGGGTTTAGTCCCAGGTTCTAAACACAGGGGGCTTAGATTTTGATTTGTCATCACTTAGATTAATGATTATATTTAACTTACTTAGCGACACGTTGAACTGGGGCTGACGTGGTGACCCGTTAGCCACTCGTATAAAATAACAAAAATCTAATCTCGTATTCTGTATAACATAACGAAAATACAAGTGCATATGCATCCAAGCGATTTCTTGAGCGGGAAATGCTCAATCAGTGCCTTATCTATTCATACATCGTATACAGGTGAGAGCGATTGAACCCAGCTAATAATGTTACTTTTATTATTGTAGACTAATTAGAAAATAAGTTATGGAATGGGTTGAATTTATCAATATTTTCGGTCATATATACTGCTGTTGGGGTCATCGACACACCATCTCAGCCTACATGATCGTATAGGGTCATTTCCACTGATAGTCTTTAATTAAAATCACTTTATTGCACAATCTGTTTCAGTATATACAATCCACTGTAATATATACATTCACGTGCTGGTCAACTGAGAAGATGACTAAGTCTCGAGTTTGAGTCTCTGGTTTGAGGCTTTCCTAAAAGAGTAAAATGAACAATAATTACACTTCTAACTAGTAAATAAAGTAATGAATATACAAATGAAATAATGGAACACACATATAGTATATACATCGATTCAAATCATTTTCACATATCGCAATTCAATAATGCACGTCAGGACCTAACACACTAC